AGATCTTTGGGGGGGGGGTACCATACATATATATGTATGTTTTTGGCAACCTCAACATCAAAAACGCAGATGTTGGGATTGCTGCGGGCATGGCCACGTCGTGGGGCAAGTCGAGGCTGAATCTAGAACCTTCTCATTCTAGCGACACATTCTAGCAGGGTTCTGGACAGACCAAGATGCCCGTTGCTGGCGAGGACGGCATGCCAGAGGCCAAGCCGACCTCCACAACCAGAGGGCAGCTGCCAGGCCGACGGGGTTTTGCACAGATGGAGGGATGGATGGATGCTAGGATTCACAGATAGATAAATGGACGACACATATGTAAATGATTGTAAATGTGTTGTCTACATTGACACGAGTATTTTGTGCTAAAGTCAGGTGCGCTCACACCCAGGCACATATCTACACACCCACACATTTATATTTGTACGGTGCACCTCGGAGCCACTCTATTTGGAGAGGCCCGCGTTCATACGCAGAGATGCCAGAAAGCATGTGGCTTGAACGGATGCAGTCAAGGGTGGCATGTGTGCAAGTAAAGGCAAGACAATCTGAAGGGCACCCCCAAGCCGTGGGCGGAGCGAGTTTTACATGCTGCTGGCCTCCTGCCATGCTTGAGGGGCAAGGCGAGCCTATGCAGCACGGGTGAAGGGAGGCTTTTTGGCGGCAAGTATCTGAGCCCATTCCAAACCAAATAACACGTATTCGAGCCAGCCTTACGCAATACTGGCTCGATTTGTTCATACATTTTTGCTGTCTTTCAAGAGCAACTAAGCATTCAGCTGAATGTATGTAATCAGAAAGGGTGGCAACAGCCCCGGGGACAACAACAAGACGATGGCTTTGTAGGGCATCAGCTGCATCAGCCCTCATGACTTGAGAAGAAGTGTCCGTTAACATCTGCCATCCTAGAGGGCGGGCTAGCCCGCAAGCACGCACCAACACAGAAGGGCTAGGCTTGTTATGGCTTGTTGATGTATGTTGACACGTTGAAAGAGAGACGTGCTAGAAACAATTTATGGCATTCGAACGTATGTCTTCCATTCCATGGTCATGCAGGCATACCTGCTTCGATCGACCGCGTCTCCGCAGAGTGCATCTGGAAGGCCTTCTGCAACAGTGAGAGCCTCGAGAAATGCAGAGATAGCTTTGAATGATGTTGGATGTGGTTACGTTCAAGTCTTGAAAGTGCTTCAAGGCGAGCATGAGTATGTCCGGCATCGGAAACTGAATCCGGCCGTACCGCGCAGAAAGCTCAGAGCTGTGAGGCTTGGGGTCTTTAGCTCTACAAGGCACTGCTGTGGTAGCTAGACGGGCGGTCTGGTTGGTGAGCGTCTCGTGAATGTAGGTCAGCAGCTGCTGTCCCAGCTTCACGGCTTTGAGGTCGTCGCGGCCTTACCTGGATGCCCTGCTCGCAGATGACTCTGGCTTGGGTTGGCTTCAGGTCAAGAATGCATCGTACATCAGCGTTCGCAGGCAGAAGCCTACTGGGGAGGACTTCTTTGAGTCCTGGGTCCAAGCTCAGGTTTACGCGGCTGCAAGCAAGCCCCATTTCGCAGGAGCTGCAGGGTTCAATGAGCCGCTTCGTAGGCGAGGACACCAAGGACCCAGGGCTAGCAAGTTGCCATGCTGAGACAGCTCAGCATCATACATGGGCTCTCACTGAAAGAGCGGGTAGCCTTCAAGGCAAACTGCAAGAGAAGCTCGCAAGGGAATTTTTCCAACAGCGCTTGCATTATTTATAATGTACCATATTATAGTAGAGTAGAATATACTATGTTTCATTATCCTATAATATTCCATAATATTCCACTATGATAGTGGAGACTTCCAGAGAGTGACTCTGCTCCCCTTAACCTAGTTCCACCAATACTCCCCCCTGCGAAGGCAAGCCACTTAAGAGGCCTCCCAATCCCAGACCCCCTAAAGGATCCAAAAAATGGAACCCCTCCAATATGAACCCATTACTACATTAGGGAAACTAGCTGATTATTAGGGGTTCCATTTTTGGGATCCTTTAGGGGGTCTGTTTAAAGCTAGCCAAACCGTTTCTCCTGGACCCTGAGAAGATCCAGAAAAAATGCCAGTGTAAAGGCGACACGCGGAGGGTTTTTGAGTTTGTGGAACTGAAGATTAGATCTGACCTTTGGCAAATCATGAGAAGGCGGAACTTAGATGTTAACCTATCCCTTCTTTCTTTGGCTTTGGAGATGGGTCTGTGCATGTTGGGCTGTGTTGGGTTCAGGCATAATATTCCTGTATCGCAGGCTGCTGAACCACTTGAGCCAAACAATCATCCTGCAGTCGTGCGCGTAGGGCGGGTGAGTTGCATTCTTAATCATTCTTCTCTGCCACCGCTTGTGGGGAAGCTTCATGCAGCTGCATGGGAAGACTGCAACAAGTGGCACTGCTGCTTCGAACTCCGGGCGACGGAAGTGATAAGCAAAACAAGCAGGTTGAGAGCTGATCTCCCTTGTGATTGCGTGTCCGAAATTGCTGTTGTGCGTGCTTCTGGCTGTGAGGTGTTAATGTATATCTTCTGGGCTTAGGGTCTTCGTAGGATCAAAGTGCTGTGCTGAGCAAAGGTTGTTACACGCAATTTAAGAGCCCATCGCGCGTAAGCAAGCCAGCAGACTTTTTTTTTGGGATGTCTGGGAATGCAATGCTCCATTGTCTGAATCCTAACGTCCGTGTTGCAAAAAGAGCCCTCCCCCGGAACATCAAGCCCTATTTTAAGTCCACCCCCATTGCTTGATTGGAGGAGAAATTCGGGCCTCCACCTTTCGTCATGCCAGTCGTAGAGGCAGGTCTGGTTGGGGCTCATCTTGCAATGGCTTACGAATTTCAGCAGGATTATTCATATCGACAGGTGACGCCAGAGCGTCCCCCCTTGCAAATGCCGAAGTATGGCCGATTCTCCTGCGATCATATGCCCCACTCCCAGTCCCAGGCAGCAACTGTCGGATTCTGTAGTGAAGTGTGAATTGCAGTGACCTAGTGTTGCAGGATGTCACAGTGGCAGCGGGCACAAATACAGTGTTGCGTAGTGAGGAGCTTGTGCGGCATGAGACTGCGGATCTGAGGTGTCCACTCGAGGTGAACCCGGAAGCTTCGCAAACAGGACCACTGCGAGGGAATGGAACGTGTGGTATGCACTTGGCAATGAAAGCACAACTGTTCAAGAAGCATGCGATAGCCAGCGTGTGATTGTGTGAAGCTTGATGTGGTTGCCCAAAGTGTCAAGAGCAGCTACAGAAGCTAACTCAGGTGTTTCGCCGCAAAATGTAGCAGCCTAGCTCAGCAATTGACAGCACGGCCTAATCTTGTAGCTTCGCTATGAAACCAAGCATGCCGCAGGAAGGACTTTGGCACGGGTAATGTCGATGCCAGCGGTCAAGTAATTGGAGGCGCGACGTCTGCCAAGTCATTGGAAGGCAGAGTGCTCAAACAGCAAGCTGTTCAGCGTCTGTTCTCAATTCCAGCTGTGCGTGGTCTGCTTCATGAGTTTTTTACTCTATGGAGATCCCTGGCAGAATGTGCAGGTGCGTGAAAGCTGCTTTATGTTGGGCTGAGGCCCAAAGTCTGAGTGCTCATTGAGAAGCCTCGTTTGCCAAATTGTAGGTCGATAGTTGACAGTCAGGAAGGGTTCTCGTGAGCGCTTCGAAAGTAAGTGCATGTAGAAAGCGCATGTGCGATAGGCTGCTAGGCATTTCTTATTGGGCATGTGTAGACGAAGCGCAGACCCTTCCTGCAACTGCCACGGCTGCTCGTATGCGCAGCTCTGTGCATGGCGGTCGAGGTGTCGGCTTTTTCCACGGAGCCCGAGGCCTCCAGCTCTGTCATCTTTCCTCACCAAATGGTGGAATTTTGGGTGCAGTGTTGGTGACTCTTGATCACCAGACGCGAGAGCCGCCTGCCCAAACGGGTGGTGGCAGAACGCGCAGCTGGGGTGCGTCAGACGAGCCCTTTGAAGAGGTTGTTATGAACCTCACCGAGTGATAAGAGGACGCCAAACGTTCACCTGCAACGCAGGGAGCGCTGATGGACCCTACGTACTCTTTCTTGCATTGAATTTGATGGGGTCGTCTTCGTCCTATGATCGGATCTCTTTCGCGAATGCGATCAGAGCTTGAAAAAAACTGCCTGAAGGTTGCTCAGAGGGAAGCTTCTGCTATGAAGTGGTCCTAGCTCTGCAAAACAGTGCTGCTTTTGACCTCGGATGCCTCAGCATTCAAATGGCGGTGATGCCATGCCTCAAGGACATCTACGAAATGTCCGAAAATGAACTAGCAAGTGCTACTGCTGGTAGTGGTTGAAACTGATACCCCACAGGATGAACCGTTAGTTGCTTTTCAGCGTTGCCGCTCTGGCTGATCATGCTCATTAGCTGCTGCTTGCAGGCAACCATTGGGAGCGCCGTGTCGGAAGTCGCGGTTCGTGGTTTTGGTTCGGTTTCAGGTTGCTTGGCATAGCTTTCGCCTGTAGCAGCGAGGTCAAGGCAATCTGGGTGAAAGGAGACAAATATAATCCCAACATAAACCCAATATACTATAGTAGTTTCCATTTTCTTTTCCATTATCCCTATATAACCCCAATATTGTCACATAAAGTTGTACGGATGAACAGCAGCACTGGTTGTAGCAAAGGTTTGAGGGCAGCAGGTGTGCACAATTCACCCTGCTGCCAGGTTCTAGGTTCTGTAAGGTACCGTAAAGATCTTGAGAGGCCAGCAGCCCTACAGATATTGCATGCGACAATGTATAGATAAAAGGCACAATGGCCATTATTTCGCTGCTAGCGCAGAAGCCAAGGTACTCACTGTGAGAGTCAAAATCCTGAAAGCAAGGTGTCTAGGATGCTGCAACTGGTTGGGCGGCTGGCACCCGAATTGTATTTTTTTTTTCGGCGGATGCCACTTGAAAAGCCGAAAGGTGTACCCCACAATGCGAGATGCACAAGTGACTGTCATAGGGACCCCCGTAGAAGGATCTCCAATTTTTGGACGTGCCGGCTTCAGATGCACATGAGATGTACCGGGTGCAGCTCAGGCCCACAGCCCATGTGTTATTATCATGTATCATAACACTACTCTACTCATCGATCCAGCAGGATGGGGTTCTACATAGCCGCAGCCCTCAGCAGACCCCTCGAAGTTGATATCTGGGGCTGGATCTATACTTCTTGCGAACGAGACCAGCGCAAATGGCATGGCTTCTCGCAACTGCAGGCGCGAGTCTAGGGAATCTAACATGTTCAAAGCTCTTGCGGCTCTGGATGGACAGTAGCCCAGCTGATGGTAAAACACCTTGACGCCTACAAGATGGCATTTGAGTCCGCTTGACTTGACTCAAGATTCGGGTCTCAGTCGAGACAACCTGTGCTTTGCAATGTGAAGCTGCCCAGACAAGAGACCACATGGCAGGGCTGATAGTCGAGCTTGGCCTTGCAGGAGTGCTTCTGGCGCGCCGAGCGGTGGGCCAGGACTCGGGAAACGGGATTCTTTTGCTACAGCTGACGGTTTTCAGGTCAGTGTCTCATGACGTTCCATGTCAATAACATGTGCAGTGCCAGGCGGCTTCCGACGCGCAGAACAATTTCAATGATAAGTACGTGAAGCGAGAGCCTTAGGTGACCATAGCGACACAGCTGTTGGGCCACGAGCCAACTTTCACACCGTTCACCTCGGCCCTGCTATAGGCGCCAGCGCCGAGGAAGTAGTGGTCAGGACACAGGCAAAGTCATCAATGGGACAAGGAATTTTTGAGATCTTGCTGTGGTGGAAAATTCAGGAATGGCTGAACCCAATCCGGGCCCGACCACCAGGAACGGGACCCCAAATAAAGGAAAAGGGGGGTGGCTCGCCATGGGGTGGTGCGCTGGGCTTTGGACACGTACGTCTCGGCAGGGCGGGGACGAATTATGGTTCCTCTTCAGCTCTGCATGCACCGTGCGAGCTTCCTTATTGTGGTTTGGAGTAGAGTTTCAAAATTAGTGGACTAGACATTTGTAGACTTTAGGCCTTGGCCGCCCTCGAAACCAAAGCGAAATGATAATGCTAGATCCGTTGAGGTCGTACCTTCCGCCGGGTGACGATCACTACACGGACGATTGGGTCGGTGGCAACTCGCCCGGACCTTGGGCAAACGCATTGGGTGAGATACACTCCAGGCAGTCGTCTTATCCAAGTGTTATGGTCAAGGGCTCTTGCCAAGGGAATATTCACTCGGATGGGCCGAGGCAGGATTGGACTGCAGTAGCTTCTGGGGTTGGGTCCAGGGGTCTGAGGCTTTGGGTGTTGAACTTGAAGATTTGAGTGTTGAGGGATGTTAAGGGCAAGTCTAGAGGTAATGCCTATACAAGCATAAGCGTCTCTGAGATATGGGTCCCGTTTTCGGGTCTCTGACGTCAAATGAGCCCTGTACTCGTCTGGTTGTAGACGCTCCAGCTTTAAGATATCTATGCATGATCACAGGGAACATAAGCCACTGTGTACATGAAGAAAGCTGCTTGTCTTTCCTCAGCTCTTCTTGCGACTGAAATCGCAGACAGATCAAGGTCCTGGCGGCACTTCATGACGCAGTTCAGCGGCCACAGCTCCAAGTGCATCTTGAAATCCTCATCCGAAGCATGAGCATGGCCAAAGGAGCAATGCAAGGGTAGAAACTGACATTGTTGTGATGAACCTCGCGACTGAAGCAGAAGGTCATTGTTCCACACTTTGCGGCAGACAGGTTGTGGCTCTACCTGTCAGTGCCTGGTTCTGAGGTCAAGCTTCGGATTACAACAAGTACTTGCATGAGTGCGCTCGATCAGGAGTTCTCCGAACTTTGAAATCATGTGTTACAAAGTGGCGTGACTTTTTTGATTTGGCGCATTGCAGGTACGGAGGCCCGCAAGCAGACTACGACCAATACGTCAGTTGCATGCTCAGCGTTTCACAAGCTGGTGATCTTTGAATCTTACATCCGGAACTACGTGTAAGATTGATTTGAGTGCTGGAAGCGGGCAATAACTGAATGTTCGAAGCAGGCGTGGGCACCAAAGAATGTATCCGTCACGAAGCCGCACGATACAGAGGAGTCACAATGGACCAGTAGGGGAGTGAGACTCTTGCAGAACAAGCGCACCGCAATACTGCATTCACTTGGATCGGCGATGGTGGCTGTGGCGGAGTCAGCCTGAGGTCTATATGCTTCTATGGCAGGGTCCCAGGTGACGTCTGGGAACAACTACATGGGCAAGGGGTCCGTCACCCAACTGACAGACCGTCATCTGGTTGCTCACTGCACGTCCTGCTGACGAGCTAAGACCTTGCCTCAGCTTGCTTACAGGTTACTAGCGGCTTCAAGGCCATTGGACTGAGTAGTTGTGCCGTGCAATGGCGGCTGTCGCAGCTGCAGATGTCACCTTTGAGGCAGATGCCTCGTGGAGCGAAGCGTAAGTTTTCAATCAAAGACAGCAGATCCCGCAATCTGAAGGTGTCTCTCCTGAGCGGTGCTGCTGCCTCGATTGCTTGTCCTCCAGATGCGAGTCTGGGTTCCCTGCAGCGGGAGATCGCTGAGAAGCTGGGCCTCCTCAGAGGTGATGAGTGGCTCCTGGGCTGCCATTTCTCGAGGAACCATTCAAAGAAGACTTGCCGAAAGCAAGGCCGTCCATGTTCTTCCTGGCAGCATCTGGCGAGACTGAGCCGCTGCAGGACCTTTGCATCCTGCAGGTGAGACTGCTTGAAGTGCACTTCAAGGTGAGCAATTCTGCTATGCATTTGCTTTTGACTGTAGAGCTTTGTAACGGCGCAGCTCTGTTTGCGTCATGCGCCTGGCACTCAGGAGTCAGTAGTTGCCAGCGAGCTTGCAGACCGTACCATTATAGCAGGAGTGCACCCCGGGTTGCACAGCAGAGTGTTTCAGTTTTTGCGAGTCATGTTGATTCAGATAGGCCATGGGAAGGACTTACAGTGCTGTAAAAGGCCTGGGCCTCCCTGGTTCTGTTTTTGAGGAATGGTGAGCCCGACTGGTGCTCTGACAAGCAATTCAAGAAGGCCGGTCGAGCGTAAGGCGTAGACCTTTCATGCAAATCTTGCCTGCTCAGTTCCAAAAATGACAGTGCTCGTTTTCCGAAGCCCCCAAGATGCTCCCGACGAAGACTGGCAAAACTGGTCAATTCGCTCCAATAAGCACGACTCCTCAATGTTCCTCGTACGCTCTACAGCGGGGCTTCAGCTGCCGGCAGTACTGACAGACCTTGAATCGTTTTGAATTGTCAAAATTGTGGGTGGCCCCATTGCGGCCTTTAGCTGTGCTCACAGTTTTTCAGATGAGACCCTGCGTTTTCATGTAAACTCCTTGAAAACGGTGATGCTATGCGATGCTGAAATGCACTGAACCTGATAGACTTGAAGCCAAGCTGCCGCCAGAGCTGGATTCATGGTCGACATTGTGGTATGGAGGAAGACTCGGAAGACATATTCTTGAAGATCCACGGAGGCGTTGCGGCTCTGTTGGGGCAAAAGAAGCAAGGATACTTCTGCGGATGTTTCAACCCAACTTCGCTTGCGGTTTATGGTGACTGCTCCAAGTTCTCGATGCGTTATACTTCATTTGAATGGCTCCGTCGGTTGCTGTTGACACTACCGTAGGACTAGGCTTCAGGAAAGGAGTGTGTCGTCATAATTGAGAGTGCTGGATGTGCATGCAACCAGAAATGTGTGCAATTCTGGATCTTGGGCTAGCATTTGCGTTTGGGCCAGCATTTACGTAGAAAGATGAACTTTCTGAGAAGGTGGCACGTTCAGCTACGAGGCGAAATATCACAGCCATGATGCTGAGTGCGGCTATCAGCATGACATGAACCTTTGGCATGATTTTTAGGGTTTCAAGTTTGAACGGGGAGCCTTTGCGGGCTTGCCTTGCCTGACAGCTTCAATTCGAGGACTGTCAAAGCCACCGGCACCTGGCGACTGGCCCTACGAAGCTGGTCCTCATAACTAAGTTTGAGAGCAGCATCGCTGCGTCGAAGTTGGCTTTGCCTTGCGACGTAACAAAGCAGCTGGAGTGTCGAAGTGAAGTAAGCGCCTTACGTTTGACATCTTTTACATGACTCCAAGCGAAGAAGCAGAGCGCTGAGCTTCGCGATGCAGCTGGCATGAGCTCTAAGGAAAGGTGAAAGATCAGGAGCCTGAAGAGGCAAAGTGGGGAACCCTTCTGTTCGGAGCAGCATCAAGGACAGAAGCGTGGAGTACCAGAGTTACTAGAGTTAGTACAAGTAGATAAAGTGATGAAGAAACTTGCAAATGCACCAAGCTGGAGGTTATTGCTGTCAATGGGACAGCCACTCGTCGCACCGTGGATATCCGCAGCACCACGAGGACAAGCACGGGGCATGTGAGCGGACGGGAGCTTTCATGTTCCAGAGAGCATCCATGCCATCCTGAAGGTATTATGATGACTACACCCCCAGCGAGTCCGCGTCAGAGAGAGACACGGATGAGGAGAGCAATGACGAAGATGAAAAACCACCGAAGGATCCATCGCCTCCTCCAAAAAAGGATCCATCACCTCCTCCAAAACCTCCACAAAACCGGCACAGTGACAAGACCGTCACAGAGGAGTTCAAACAATCATTCTCAAAGGCTGGCCTTGCAGACGCTTTTAGTTACCTGAGTCTCGCGCAACAAAACACACCACTGAGCCAGTGCTGCTGTGACAAGGCAGACTTGCTGACACCTGACAAAGGACGCGGAATCCTGCCCAGTCATTAATCGCATCAGAGCAGGATGCTCCTGTAGGTTCCAGAACTTTCGAAGTTTTGCCAGGATGGCACAAACGAGGAGGATGGACTGTGACTGACCTTCCGCCGCTGAAGCCAGAAGAAGCCACGGGGGCTACCGCCCCATCTGCTTAGCCTACCCGACAGCAAGCAAGATCCTTAGAGGCAAGAAGACATCTGAAAGCTGTTTGCATGCAGCAAGTGCAGTTCGGCAGTATTTGCTGTTGCTTGTGCTACGACGACCGCCTGAGATGCAAGCCAAAGAAAGGCAAGTAGACCCTGCCAAGGTGTCTATGCCAAAGGCAAGTGTCTCACCGCTCCCGCTTGCTGCCCTCGGCGTGACCTGCTTCACAGAGACTGCATTCTTGTTATGACCTCCTCGATCCTAATCGCTATGGGGAAACGCTGCAGGTCACAACATCGACTGCGCAAGCCCGGAGCAATCTTTTCGTCCTTGGCCTGACCGGGAACGAACGTGAACACGTGTGAACACCTGGGCAAAGGATGCAGACCTCTGCTCAGTTGTACAGGCAGTTCATTTAGCCTACCCCTGTGCACCAGATGCAATTGGAGTCTGTACAGTCGCATGCTCAGGGCGAACAATGATACACGTCTCTGCACGCCAGCGTGCCGCAGAGCGGGGACAGTTGCCCACGTCGCCCGAGGCAAAGCCAACTCAGTGCCTGGAACAAGCCCGTCTCCAAGAGATGCACAGGGTTTAGAGGCCCTTCCTTTCAATGAGCTTCCGAGGGTGCAGCATGCGCACTTCGCTTGTTATGCATGTATTGAGTTTGGCAGGCATGGGTGTATATTGATCATTCAATGCTCCACGCAATCTGCCATTTGGGATCAAGCAATCTGAGATTGGCAGTTGAGCCAAAACGGTAGATTCAGCTTTTGCTTT